CCCCCAGCCCCATTTTCCCCCCCCAGCCCCATTTCCTCCCAGCCCCATTTTAACCCCCCCAGCCCCACCTGCTCTCCCCCCGGGGGGGGCTCTCCCGGTCCCGGGGGTCTCTCCGGCGGCGCCCCCGGGGCGGGGCCGGGCCGGGGCCCGGGCGGGGGTCCCGGGGGGGGTCCCGGGGGGGTCCCCAGGTGCTGCAGCAGCCGGGCCAGGGCGGCAGCGCTGTCGGCGCAGGTGCGGCCCCGCAGCCGGGCGGGGGCCACCAGCAGCTCCTCGGGGGGGCCCTGCGGGTGGGGGGGGGGGGCTGAGACCCCCGAGACCCCCCGAGCCCCCCCGAGCCCCCCCAAACCCTCCCGCTCCCCCCGCCCCTCCCTGAACCCCCAAAACGCCCCCAAAGCCCCCCCAGCCCCAGCGGCTGCTGAGGGGGGAGGGGGGCACCCCAAATCCCAGCGGCCCCCCAAACCCCCCAGCCCCCCCCACCGCCCCCCCCTCGCCGTCCTCCCCCCGCCGGGGGCTCAGGAGCAGCTCCAGGAAATCGATGTCGAGCACGGACACGAAATCTGGGGGGGCCGGGGGACCCCGGTGACCCCGGTGACCCCTGAGTGACCCCGGGGTGACCCCGGAGTGACCCCAGGGTGACCCCCCAGATCCGGACTGGGGTCCCCATTTAGGGGTCCCCATTTCAGGGGTCTCATTTTGGGGGGTCCCATTTCGGGGGTGTCATTTGGGGTCCCCTTTTGGGGTCCCATTTCGGGGGTCCCATTTCAGAGATCTCATTTGGGGTGTCATTTTGGGGTCCCATTTTGGGCGGGGTCCCATTCTGGGGTCCCCATTTCAGGGGTTCTGTTTGGGGGTCCCATTTCGGGGGTCCCATTTCAGGGGTCCCATTTTGGGGGGTCCCATTTTGGGGGTCCCATTTCGGGGGTCCCATTTCGGGGGTCCCATTTCAGGGGTCCCATTTCGGGGGTCCATTTCAGGGGTCCCATTTTGGGGGTCCTATTTCAGGGGTCCATTTTGGGGGGTCCCATTTTGGGGGTCCCGTTACCCCTCTGCAGCTCCAGCGCCGCCTCCCCGCAGCGCTCGCTCAGGAACACGGAGCCGTCGTCCACCAGCAGCCTGGGGGGGTGGGGGTCAGCACCCCAAAAACCCCAAAACCCCCAGAAACCCCCAAAACACCCCTGGGATCACTAAAACCCCCAAAAACACCCCTGGGATCACCAAAACCCCCAAAAACACCACTGGGATCACCAAAACCCCCCAAAAAACCTCCAAAAACACCCCTGGGATCACCAAAACCCCCAAAACCACCCCTGGGATCACCAAAACCCCCCTAAAAACCCCCAAAAACACCCCTGGGATCACCAAAAGCCCCAAAAACACCCCTGGGATCACCAAAACCCCCCTGGACCCCTAAAAGCCTCCCCCGGACCCCCCAAAAGCCCCCCAAAACCACCCTCGTGATCCCCAAAAACCTCCCTGCACCCCCAAATAACCCCCCCACGACCCCCAAATAACGCCCCCAGGACCCCCAAACCCCCCCGGGACCTCCCCCAAAAACCCCAAGACCCCCGAGAGCCCCAAAATCCTCTCAGTGCCTCCCCCAGGCCCAAAACACTCCTGGGAAACCTCCCAAAGCCGCCCCGGGGACCCCAAAACGCGCCTGGGGCTCCCCCAGACCCCCGGGCCCCCCCAGACCCCCGGGGCCCCCCCAGACCCACCGGAGGGCGGCCGGGGGGGGCTCGGGGCCGCTGCCCCAGGTCAGGCTCAGCATCTCGGCCGTCAGCAGCACCCGCAGGGGCAGCGGCGGCCTGGGCGCCCCAAAACGGTCACCCCGAAACCGGGGCGCCCCAAAACGGTCACCCCAAAACGGGGCACCCCGAAACGGTCACCCCAAAGGATGAGGGACTCCCTTCCCCCCTCCCCAAACACCCAAACTGGGGTCAGCCCATCCCTCCCCCAAACCCCCCCAGTTTTGGGGTCACCCCCCCTCTCAGAACCCCGGTTTTGGGGTCACCCCCCCATTTTGGGGTCACCTCCCTCCCAGGATCCCCGTTTCGGGGTCACCCCCCCCTCCTCCTGGGATTCCTATTTTGGCCTCCCCTGTTCTTGGGGTGCCCCCCCGTTTTTGGGGTCCCTCCCCTGTTTTTGGGTGCCCCCCCCCCATTTTTGGGGTGTCCCCCCTGTTTTTGGGTGCCCCCCCCTTTTTTGGGCTGCCCCCCCCATTTTTAGGGTCCCTCCCCCGTTTTTGGGGTGCCTCCAGCCCCATTTTTGGGTTGCCCCTTCCGTTTTTGGGGTGCCCCCAGCCCCATTTTTGGGTTGTCCCCCCCGTTTCTGGGGTGCCCCCAGCCCCACTTTTGGGTGCCCCCCCGTTTTTGGGGTGCCCCCAGCCCCATTTTTAGGGTCCCCCCCGTTTTTGGGGCCCCCAGCCCCGTTTTTGGGGTCCCACCTGTAGTCGAGGCCGCAGCGCTGCAGGTGCAGGTGCAGCTGGGTCAGGGGGGTGGGGGCCGTGTACCCCAAAACCGGCTCGTCCTCCAGGGCCAGCAGGGCCAGCAGCTGCGGGACCCCAAAAGTCACCCCGGGAGCCCCAAGAGCCGCGGGGGGAAAAAGGAAAGGGTCAAAAACGGGGAATTCCCAAAATCCCTCCCAAAACCGGGAACGAACTGAGGCGTAAAACCACAAAACCCCAAAAAGAAACAAAAATGGGAAATTCCCAAAAACCCTCCCAAAACAGGAACAAACTGGGGCGTAAAACCACAAAACCCCAAAAAGAAACAAAAATGGGAAATTTTCAAAAGCTTTCCCAAAATGGGAATGAACAAAAGAACTCTAAAAGCACAAACCCTCAGAAAAAAATAAAACAAAATAAAATGAAATAAAATGAAATAAAATAAAATAAAATAAAATAAAATAAAATAAAATAAAATAAAATAAAATAAAATATAAAATAAAAACTAAAACCAGGAAATCCCCCGAGAGAAACCCCAACCACCCCAAAAGGGGCCGGGACCCCCCAGAAGGCGCCGGGACCCCCAGAAGGCGCCGGGACCCCCCAGAAGGCGCCGGGACCCCCCAGAAGGGGCCGGGACCCCCCAAACAGGGCCAGGACCCCCAGAAGGCGCTGGGACCCCCAGAAGGCGCCGGGACCCCCAAAAGGCGCCAGGACTCCCCAAACAGGGCCGGGACCCCCAGAAGGCGCCAGGACCCCCCAAAGGGGCCGGGACCCCCCGAAGGCGCCGGGACCCCCGGCCCGTCGGGGTCTCTCACCTGGCTGTACCAGGGGGTGCAGGGGGGGTCGGGGCGGTGCCGCAGCATCACCCCCTCGAGGGCCACGGCCACCTCCAGCTCCTGGGGACGCCGGGGGGACATTGGGGGGGACGCCGGGGGTGTCCCCAGCCCCCGGTGTCCCCAAAGTCCCCCCACGTCCCCTCAGCCCCCCCGTCCCCAATCCCTGTTCCCGTCCCCACCGCGGTGTCCCCCTGTCCCCCATCCCCAATTCCTGGTCCCATGTCCTCACCTTGGTGTCCCCTGTCCCCTCGTCCCTGTCCTGTGACCCCCACTACTGTCCTTGTCCCCACCTTGATGTCCCCGTGTCCCTGTCCCGTCCTGTCCCCGTCCCCGTGCCCACCTTGGTGTCCCCAATCCCCGTCCCCGTGTCCCCCCTTTGTCCCCCATGTCCCCAATCCCCGTCCCCCCTTTGCTGTCCCCGTCCCCACTTTGGTGTCCTTGTCCCCAGTCCCTGTCCTCCCCCCCCGTCCCCGTGTCCCCCCCTTGTCCCCGTGCCCACCTTGGGGTCCCCAATCCCTGTCCCCATGCCCACCTTGGTGTCCTTGTCCCCAATCCCTGTCCCCCCTTGTCCCCGTGCCCACCTTGGTGTCCCCCCTTTGTCCCCCGTGTCCACCTTGCTGTCCCCAATCCCCGTTCCCAATCCCTGTCCCCACTTTGGTGTCCCTGTCCCCAATCCCTGTCCCCCCTTGTCCCCGTGCCCACCTTGGTGTCCCCCCTTTGTCCCCCGTGTCCCCCTGTCCCCGTGCCCACCTTGGTGTCCCCAATCCCCGTTCCCAATCCCTGTCCCCACTTTGGTGTCCCTGTCCCCAATCCCTGTCCCTGTCCCCCCTTTGTCCCCCGTGTCCCCCCGTCCCCGTGCCCACCTTGGTGTCCCCTGTCCCTGTCCCTGTCCCCCCTTTGTCCCCCGTGTCCCCCCGTCCCCGTGCCCACCTTGGTGTCCCCGCGGGGTCCCAGCCGGGTGCCCAGGGCCATCGCCAACATCCGGGGTGGGGGGGGGACCCCGGGGGGGGGCGCGGGCTCCTCCCAGGGCACCAGGGTGGGCAGCGGGGGGGGGCGCGGCCCCTCCCCCCCCTCGGGCACCGGGCCTGGGGGGCACGGGGGGAGGGGCTGGGGCCCGACACGGCACCCCAGAAACGGGGACACCCCCAAACACAAGGACACCCCCCCCAGAAACTGGGGATCCCCCCAGAAACCGGGACACCCCCAGAAACGGGGACACCCCCCCCCAGAAACTGGGGATCCCCCCAGAAACCAGGACACCCCTCTAAAAACGGGGACACCCCCTAGAAATGGGGACACCCCCAGAAACGGGGACACCCCCTCCCACCCCGTTATTGGGAAGTTTTCGGGCAGTTTTTGGGACAGGTTTGGGGCAGTTTTTGGGGCAGATTTGAAAGGGGCAGTTTTGGGACAGTTTTGGGGCAGTTTTTGGACAGTTTTGGGGCAGTTTTTGGGGCAGTTTTGGGACATTTTGGGGCAGTTTTTGGGACAGGTTTTGGGGCAGTTTTGGGGCAGTTTTGGGGCAGTTTTTGGGGCAGATTTGGGCAGTTTTGGGTGTCTTAGGGCAGTGCTGGCCCCCCGTTTCGGGTACCGTGCAGCAGGACGAGGCTCCGGGCGTCGGCGCAGGCCCAGGAGCGGCCCCGGACCCCCCCCGGGCGGGGGAGGACGCAGAGCCGCCCCTCGCCCACCTCCAGCACCAGCTGCGAGCCGGGGACCCCCCCCTGGGGACACCCCAAAAACAGTCACACCCTGACCCCCCCCTGGGGACACCCCAAAAACGGTCACACCCCGCCCCCCACCCTGGGGACACTTGGGACCCCCAGGGTGACATCTGGGGACCCCCGGGTGCCATTTGAGACCCCAGGGTGGCACTGGGACCCCAGGGGTGGCACTGGGACCCCAGGGTGGCACTGGGACCCCCGGGTGCCATTTGAGACCCCAGGGTGGCACTGGGACCCCGGGGTGGCACTGGGACCCCAGGGGTGGCACTGGGACCCCGGGGTGGCACTGGGACCCCAGGGGTGGCACTGGGACCCCAGGGTGACATCTGGGGACCCCCGGGTGCCATTTGAGACCCCAGGGTGGCACTGGGACCCCAGGGTGGCACTGGGACCCCCGGGTGCCATTTGAGACCCCAGGGTGGCACTGGGACCCCAGGGTGCCCCCCGCCCCGTGGCCTCACCGCGGGGGGACCCTCGGCGGTGACGCGCCCCCAGGACACGGTGACCAGGACGGCGCCGCCGCTCCGGGGGGGCCCGGGGGGGTCCTGCGGGGACCCCCCGGAGCCTTCGTCCCCCTCCTCGTCCTCATCCTCATCATCCTCGTCGGAGTCTGGGGACAACGGGGGGTCAGGGACACCCAGGGACACCCAGGGGAGACCCAGCGACACCCAGGGGCGCCCAGGGGCACCCAGGGACACCCAGAGACACCCAGGGGCACCCAGGGACACCCAGGGGGCACCCAGGGGCGCCCAGGGGACACCCAGGGACACCCAGTGACACCCAGGGGCGCCCAGGGGACACCCAGCGACACCCAGGGACACCCAGAGACACCCAGGCATACCCAGGGGACACCCAGCAACACCCAGGGGCGCCCAGGGGACACCCAGGGACAACCAGGGGACAACCAGGGGACATCCAGAGACACCCAGGGGTGCCCAGGGGGCACCCAGGGACACCCATGGGCCAGCCCGGATTTTGGGGGTCCCGGGGTCTCACCTGTGCCCAGCGCCGACCTGCAGGGCCTGAAGGGGGCGGGGCCTTGAGGAGGGGCGGGGTCTCCGGAGGGGGCGGGGCCAGCCGAAGGGGCGTGGTCTCCG